GGCCCATTATATTTCTGCTAATTTCATTACCATTTGATTCTTACTTGTACTGAAATTTGGAGCTGCTGTGATTAGCAAATGTTGAATTATTGTCCAGATATGGTCTTAGATTTTGCTTTTTTCTTCTTTGAAAGTCCCTCATAGTTTTTCTCTGTATCTACAGTTTGGAATGTTTGTTTGTCTCTACTTTTCTATCTTTGCTTTTTGAGCTATGTTATGGAGTGCAAGAACATCAACTCAGAAGTCCACCATTGAAAAAGCTTGATTAGACTGTGCATGATTATAGATCCTCCCCTAGATTAATGGAGGAACAAACCATCATCACCCTATGTGAACTACATACTTTAGGCTTTTGACTTGGGCATTAGCATTAATAAAGCAGTAATTGATTGCACACAGTGATTAATTATTCACACCCAAGGTTGGGAGAGATTTAGAAATTAGGTTTAGGCATGACACATTTTTTGAAGGAAAAATTGTAAAAGCCAAAAGAAAAAATTTTGGTGGAGGAAGCAAGCTAACTTTCCATAACTATAAAAGTTTTTTTCTTTTTTCCGAAGGTAAATAGAATATATTGAAACAGGGAAAACATAAAGTGTGCTCAAACAAGCAAGAACACACCAGGAGACAAAGGAATACACCAAAACATGATTGTAAAAGTTTTTCAACAAACGTTATATAATTTTGAAAAATAATTCAAATTTTTGAGGGCATCGCCATCAGTCCCATCTGTCTCCCCAAAAATCATCGATGAGCAATCGTAAAACAACCTTAACTTGTCTAAATCTTGCATTAGAAGATCAAGATCAATTGATTTCTAATTATACATAGATTGAAAAGGTTATATATAAGATGATTCTCAGTACATAAAATTGTTGTAAAGTTTGAAAGATAAAAATAATAAATAGTATTTACTTCATTTTGTAAAGACTATCCTCCTGCACAAAATACGCCTAAAAACCAGATGAGCATTCACCATCGTCTATCATCGTCACTCTTCTACACACATAGTTCCAAAACCCTACACGCAAGAATTTTTTTTTTTTTTTTTTCCCTTGCACATGTGCTGCTGTGTATGCCATATACAAAAAACACACGATTAGATGGATGGTTTGAGTTAAGATCTTAGAGGGGAATCCATAAAAAGTAAAAGCAACTATAGAGAAATGCACTATATGTCTATTCATATTATACTTTTTGAGCTAAAAACCGAAATAATTAAGAGGTTGATGTAATGTGGGGGTGTATTTTTGTTTAATAAAAAGAATCAACATAGAAAACGACGCAAAACTCCTATTCTAGTATCTCACTTTGTTGAATGCCAAACTAGATATGGGTGCAAGCAAGAGTACAGTTATTTGAATTAGTTTTAGGGGTTGAATCCAGAACCTTATTAAGTGAAAAATATAGTATTGTGATTTACTAGTAGGGCTAATGAACGATCCAGTTAGTTCAGTCAAGTCTGATTAGAAGTGTTAAAACGAGTGAAACAAAGCTTTAGAGGAAAAAGGGAGAGGGGGGATTTCTTGGTGTTATTGGACAAAATTGTTACCCTTTTTCACGTCTAATTTTATAAAACATGATTAATTATGAGTTGCACAAGTCAACTTTTCCTTAAATTAGAATAGGATGACTCAGAATCAAAAAATTATGTGCTACTACATCAAAAATGATTATCGATCATAAATCTCGTTTGTTTGTATATATTGATAGATCATTATTATCATTTATATATAAAATAGTAGCCAGGTCACTTTGTTCTAATGATTTTCTTGTTTGGATAAATTATGTTTTGCACTCTTGAATTATGATCCCAAAATCACCTTTCTCTCTATTATTGTAATTCTCACATTGCACTCTGAACTCATTGATACAGCTACTTAAGATTACCCCTCTCTCTCTCTCTCTCTCTCTCTCTCTCTCTCTCNTTCTTTCATGCTTGAATTTTCTTATAAATAATCAATTTTTTTTTTTGTAAAAAACACAAGGAAATACAATAAAGTTGTAATCTATAGCTAACTTTTCATTTTATCCTTATTTTTCTTAAAATATTTTATTAGTTATTAATTTTAAAAAATTATGGTATGAATTTAATTAATCATATAATTTAACCCAAAGACTTTTGTGTTGGTGATTGTCTTAAAATTAGGTTTCGAGCCATTTTTTTATAAAAAATTAATGTTCAATTGTAATTACATATTTTTTTTCTTTTTATACCAATTTAATATAGTCAAGGATAATTATAAAAGGTTTCTTATAACTTTACTTTCTTTCAAACAATAAAATAAATTTTTTTCAAATTTTTTTGTAAATTTTTCATTCTAACCAAATACATGCATAAAAATATATTTTCTATCATTTTCTTTTCTTTCACTTCATTTTCTATTATTATCACTTTCCATCATTTTTTCCTTCTTAACCAAATGGACCTGATTATTTTGAAACATCGCCTATATATCAATCAAGTTTTTAAAGCCTATTTTTCAATTTATAGCACAATGTTTACATGTTGTGTAACAACCTGTCATGATTTGTCATGACCAAGCTTATTTTCTTACCTACCGTCATTATCTCTCTAGACCATGGAATTTGGATCCATCAAAATCGATTCAAATTTGTGAGGTAAATTTAGCTCAAATCAGTCGCACGGTATAAGGATCGTGTGTTTGGGACTCACCCGCATCAGCCTGCACAGAATCCACCATTAAGAGTTGATGCACATGATGTGGTCGAAACCTAGACCCTACCCTTTACCAAAACTAGTACGTACTGTCAGCAACGGCGCCTAACCAGGCCAGTAATGGCAAGATTGTATCAAAATTTGGTTGAAGATGATTAGGTTGAAGCGGTGCAAGGACGGGACTGTGCGGTAGTGAAGGCTAACTGCATTGAAAGGGACCAGCCAATTAAATGATCTTGCTGGGATGGTCATGATCAAGTCACCAGACTAGCTTTGACAGTGCAAGTGTGGTCACACACACACACACTACATTCAACCATTAGTCCCAATATTGGGTGATGGGTTTTTGTGTTTTGTTGGACCAAATCCACTGCTGGGTAATACCAAATCTCCAAAGAAAAGAAAAGCTGCTGAAAACTAATACATACATCTTCCTCTTTATTCTTTAGTTGGCCACTCAACAGTTATTTTTACTATTTTTTGGAGGATTTCTGGGTCATCTCACATATTTATACCTCAGTTGGAATTCTAATAATCTCCCTAAACTACATGTTATGTTTTGTCCAAGAAGATCGTATCATGGATAAGACTCCTGGTTATAGTAAAATCTGTTGAGAAATAAGTGTGAAAGAAACCTTATCCTTACTTTAGAGAAGTTAATTTCCGAACTCGAACTCACAATAGGGCAGATAAACATATAACATTGTGACTGGTCCTAACGTATTGGCTGCTTTTACAAATTTTGTTTGTCTTCATTAGTAAACCAGTGTGATCACACTTGATTGTCAGTTTATGGAGAATCAACCACTAGACAATGCCTTTCTGTGCTTGGATTTTTCCAGTTGCTTAAACATCTTTGATACTTCATTCATTCTTTTATGTCCTCTCTATTTTTCCATTAGAAGTGATAGCTTTGGAAAATCAAAACGAGGACACATGACATTACTAACGTGATAAATTAACCATTATACTGAATATTTATGTGACATGTGAGAGTTGATGTTAGAGCACTTGCTTCTTCTCGCAGAGGAGTATGAAGAGGCATGACATACATGATAAGCATACCTAATTTAAGCTTGGCAAAGTCTCTATCATCTTAAGCAAATAAAATCTGTGATATACTAAACTCTTATCCCCTAACTAATTCATGTTGAGTTGCCATCCATTGACTATTCCTAATCAAAGACTGGATATAGGAAACAATAATAGAATCATAGAGAAAACAAATTCTAAAAAAAAAAGGCACAAATAAGAATACACAAATTTACACAAAAAAACCGCATTTGTTATGTAGTGTTAGAGATATAGATAAGTGTGATGCAGTTAAAAAAGTACCCTCTGCCAGATAAGGTAGAACAAGTTTGCCTCAAGGGACAGGGCTATCGAGGCTCGAACCTACATCGCAACTTTCAGGCCTTCATTCTTGCCATTAGAATAGAAGTGTTACAATTCTTCTTTGTTTTTCTCCGTATCAAAGGAAAAGTTAATACCATCCATTTAAAACTCCGACATAAAATAGAGACAAAGAAATCACAAGATTTAACATTTTTCAGCAAAGAGATATTTCTGGGCCATCTTAGTGAAACATTAGGATTGCGACAGTTACATAATTCTTAGTCTATAAAATCTCCTAGTCCATTAAAGATTAAATTCCAGCTCTCAAAAGAAGAGCCAAATCTACCTCTTATATAACCTTTCACTTGTGTCCATCTAAAAAGTAAGCTCATGGTACAACCCAATGGCCAACACATTTAAAACCTAATCCCCACCAAAATATACTAGAACTCGAGAATCCAAGGAAACCCAGGTCTTTGCCCCCCACAACACACAACACAAACCTCTGGATTTCACACCATATGGGAAGGATAGAAAGCTTGCTTCATTCTACCCCACTCATCTTCTATATGCTAAAGCATACATTGGCATTAAGGGGACAGAATTGAATCATCTTCAATGCATTTTCTCTCAATTTTCGTTAGTGATAGATAATTTAACATGAATGAAAATGGGACCTACTATCTAAACTTGGGGCGGGGTCGCCAAAAAAATTATATCAAAGTAGATCTCTATATTGGTCTCTCTTACAAAAAAAAAACCTCCACACAAACTTTCTTTGTATAACATCATGAACTGTGCAATTGATTATTATAAAGGTGGCCCTCTCTCCCACTACTTTCAATCATTTCTATTAGTTTTCACTCTACAACCTCACAAATCTCATCTTTTGTGCTTCCTATACACTCTTACTATAAGTATATCCAACACCTAAGTCCTAACTTCCAAACTTAACTTTCATATCATTTAACCCAAAACTTGAGCCATGTCCATCACAGGACTTTCAGAACCGGAGAAGATAGGCAAGAAACCGGTGCAATGGAGGAATGATTCAGGCGAACTTGACGTGTTTGAGGCTGCACGATATTTCTCCGGTGCCAATGAAGGTCCCGGTTATAATGGTGCAACTTTACCGCAGAAAATCATTAGAGAAGACAAACAGGCATGTAGAGGTGGAAGGATTAGCTTAGACATGGCAGTGATCAGAAATTCACTTCCTTCCCAAACTAATGTGATTGAGAAGCCTATGAAAGAGAAGAAATACAAACAACCAAGCTCTCCTGGTGGTAGACTTGCTAGCTTCTTGAACTCTCTTTTCAATCAAACATCTTTGAAGAAGAAGAAATCAAAGTCCAGCACACAATCTATGAAGGATGAAGATGAGAGCCCAGGTGGGAGGAGGAAAAGGAGAAGCAGCATTAGCCATTTTCGAAGCACAAGCACCGGTGATTCGAAATCCTTTTATTCATCTTCCAGTTCTGGTTTTAGAACACCCCCACACACATACACTCCTACAAAGACCTATAAGGATCTCAGAAGCCATTCAGATCATAAGCAAGTGGTGCCCTTGTCCAAACACAATAATAGGCATGTTAAGTCCAATACTGCTTTGCAAAATGAGGTTTATGATGACAAAACAAGCTCAGATTATGCTTGGCTGGATGAGAAATTCAAGTTCAGTAATGGGTTTTCCGGGTTTTCGGAGAAAGGTAGGAACTGGGCTGATCAGTATCCTGCAAAACAAAAGGATTTCAAGAAGTTCAATGAGGTTGATGATGGTGCAGATAGTGATTCAAGCTCTGATCTATTTGAGTTACAAAACTATGACTTGGATCACTGCTCAAGTGGTTTGCCAGTTTATGAGACTACCCATATGGAAGTCATCAAGAGAGGTGCACCAATTTCCAATGGCCCAATATAGGGTGACTCGGTGCACGAGGTTATCGCCACTGTAATGGTAAGATGGATGTATCCATTTCCAATGGCCCATTATATTTCTGCTAATTTCATTACCATTTGATTCTTACTTGTACTGAAATTTGGAGCTGCTGTGATTAGCAAATGTTGAATTATTGTCCAGATATGGTCTTAGATTTTGCTTTTTTCTTCTTTGAAAGTCCCTCATAGTTTTTCTCTGTATCTACAGTTTGGAATGTTTGTTTGTCTCTACTTTTCTATCTTTGCTTTTTGAGCTATGTTATGGAGTGCAAGAACATCAACTCAGAAGTCCACCATTGAAAAAGCTTGATTAGACTGTGCATGATTATAGATCCTCCCCTAGATTAATGGAGGAACAAACCATCATCACCCTATGTGAACTACATACTTTAGGCTTTTGACTTGGGCATTAGCATTAATAAAGCAGTAATTGATTGCACACAGTGATTAATTATTCACACCCAAGGTTGGGAGAGATTTAGAAATTAGGTTTAGGCATGACACATTTTTTGAAGGAAAAATTGTAAAAGCCAAAAGAAAAAATTTTGGTGGAGGAAGCAAGCTAACTTTCCATAACTATAAAAGTTTTTTTCTTTTTTCCGAAGGTAAATAGAATATATTGAAACAGGGAAAACATAAAGTGTGCTCAAACAAGCAAGAACACACCAGGAGACAAAGGAATACACCAAAACATGATTGTAAAAGTTTTTCAACAAACGTTATATAATTTTGAAAAATAATTCAAATTTTTGAGGGCATCGCCATCAGTCCCATCTGTCTCCCCAAAAATCATCGATGAGCAATCGTAAAACAACCTTAACTTGTCTAAATCTTGCATTAGAAGATCAAGATCAATTGATTTCTAATTATACATAGATTGAAAAGGTTATATATAAGATGATTCTCAGTACATAAAATTGTTGTAAAGTTTGAAAGATAAAAATAATAAATAGTATTTACTTCATTTTGTAAAGACTATCCTCCTGCACAAAATACGCCTAAAAACCAGATGAGCATTCACCATCGTCTATCATCGTCACTCTTCTACACACATAGTTCCAAAACCCTACACGCAAGAATTTTTTTTTTTTTTTTTTCCCTTGCACATGTGCTGCTGTGTATGCCATATACAAAAAACACACGATTAGATGGATGGTTTGAGTTAAGATCTTAGAGGGGAATCCATAAAAAGTAAAAGCAACTATAGAGAAATGCACTATATGTCTATTCATATTATACTTTTTGAGCTAAAAACCGAAATAATTAAGAGGTTGATGTAATGTGGGGGTGTATTTTTGTTTAATAAAAAGAATCAACATAGAAAACGACGCAAAACTCCTATTCTAGTATCTCACTTTGTTGAATGCCAAACTAGATATGGGTGCAAGCAAGAGTACAGTTATTTGAATTAGTTTTAGGGGTTGAATCCAGAACCTTATTAAGTGAAAAATATAGTATTGTGATTTACTAGTAGGGCTAATGAACGATCCAGTTAGTTCAGTCAAGTCTGATTAGAAGTGTTAAAACGAGTGAAACAAAGCTTTAGAGGAAAAAGGGAGAGGGGGGATTTCTTGGTGTTATTGGACAAAATTGTTACCCTTTTTCACGTCTAATTTTATAAAACATGATTAATTATGAGTTGCACAAGTCAACTTTTCCTTAAATTAGAATAGGATGACTCAGAATCAAAAAATTATGTGCTACTACATCAAAAATGATTATCGATCATAAATCTCATTTGTTTGTATATATTGATAGATCATTATTATCATTTATATATAAAATAGTAGCCAGGTCACTTTGTTCTAATGATTTTCTTGTTTGGATAAATTATGTTTTGCACTCTTGAATTATGATCCCAAAATCACCTTTCTCTCTATTATTGTAATTCTCACATTGCACTCTGAACTCATTGATACAGCTACTTAAGATTACCCCTCTCTCTCTCTCTCTCTCTCTCTCTCTCTCTCTCTCGCGTGGGTATATATGGCCAAGAAGCTAGTGCTAATCCGATCATGCGCCCTATGAGTAGCCATTAGAAGGAATGATGATAGACTGGATCAAGTGATCATTCATGGGGTACGAAAATGGGTCCAGCAGTGCAAGGGACACCACCCCAGTGCGTGGTGGGCTCAAAGCATGTGTGTGATCATTTACAGAGAGAGAGAGAGAGAGAGAGAGTGACTTTGTTTACCACCATATATGCATTTTGCTTTTAGGAAAAGGTAACTAACCAACTAAAAGGTCCATAACCCAACTAACCATATATCCAACTATACACATACATTACCTACCGATCATACAATGGGTATATTCTTGTCGAGTCATATCTGACTCATTGTATCTAACCATGTTGATTCATCTGGTTTATAAGTCGTATTTAATAGATTCGTATATATTTAATTTATTTGTGTTAATCTATTTAATTAATGGATCTAAATAAACTTGTCTATTTATAACTCGCTAAGATTGATTTTAATTTGTAAACTTCATATATCTCATACTAAATTTGTAGGTGGTGCCTTTAAATGACATTTGTTTGGTGTTTCTTGACAATTCCTTATACTCCGTTTGATATGATTAAAACATAAAATGATGGAAAGATGGAAGAATGGAAAATTGGAGGGATAAAGAAAACATCATGTTTGGTAAGGAAAGAAAATAGAAAGAATAGAAAAGTTGATGGATTAATTTTTCTTTCACCTCACAAAAATTAATCCCTCTAAAATCGGAAGAAAAGTTAATTATTTGTGTTGAAAAGTATCTTATTTGTTTACTAGCAATTGTTCATGCCTGAAGGCACGGTGTTTTTCATAAATTAGTTACAAATATTTGCGGATACATAAATGTAAAGTAAAATACAACATTGTAATAAACGATGAACAAAATGAGTTCGCTAATATTTTTTATAATATCAACCTACATGCATAGCATATATTTTCACATTAAATTGTTACGCCTGAAAAATTATGTTATAACTACTGAAACATAATAATTCAAACATTTGAAAAAATATATCAACTGACAATATTCAATGTTTATATTTTTGATTCAAAATCCACGATTTTAACATTCATAATCAACTTTATTTAAATAATAACAGAATTCAAAACTAATAGAATGAAAATTATAACAATACTCCCACAAATAAACTAAGTTTGCAGATGTTGTCAAATGAATAAACATAACTATCACAAATTCAACTGACTTCCAAAAGATACGACCTGACTATTAAATTTGTATGATTCGAGTTTATAGTAGTGTTTTAATCTTATATCATTCTTTTCGGTTATTTATATTCTTAGTATATTTTATTAAACTAAACGTTATTTAGTATTGGATTATTTAGTAAAAATTGTTACCTCGTATTGTTCACTAAATATTGAATTTGTATAATTCGTATTCATAGTATTGCTTATAATTTTGTATCGTTTCTCTTGTTTGTAATTTTGTATCATTTTTCTCGGGTATTTAAATTTAGATTATTTAGTAAATATTGTTATTTTGTATTGTTCACAAAATATTGAATTTGTATAATTCGTGTTTGTATATGAATTTAATCTTGTATATTTTAAATGTTAAGTATATTTTCTATAATATATCTCTTGATATCCGAGTTGCCCAATAACTTAAATTCAATCTTATATATTTTACATGTTAAGCATATTTTATTTTTTAAATTAGATTTTTTGCAAGTTATATTTTTTTTTTATTGATTATCGAAAAAATAAAATTGACTATTGAATTTGTATGATTTGAGTTTATAGTAATGCTTTTAATTTTATATCATTTTTTTGAATTATTTATATTCTTAATATATTTTTTTAAACTAAACATTATTTATTATTGGATAATTATTTAGTAAAGATTGTTATTTTGTATTATTCACTAAATATTAAATTTGTATGATTCATGTTCATAGTATTCCTTATAATTTTGTATCGTTTCTCTTGCTTTTAATTTTGTATCATTTTTCTCGGGTATTTAAATTTGAATTATTTAGTAAATATTGTTGTTTTGTGTTGTTAAATATTGAATTTGTATAATTCGTGTTTGTATATTTTAAATGTTAAGCATATTTTCTTTAATATATCTCTTGATATCTGAGTTACCCAATACATTGAATTTAATCTTGTATATTTTACATGTTAAGCATATTTTTTTTGTTAAATTAGATTTTTTGCAAGTTATGTTTTTTTTTTATTGATTATGGAAAAAACAAAATTGACTATTGAATTTTTATGATTCGTATTTGTAGTATTGCTTGAATGAAAGAGAAAGATATAGAGAAATATTTTCGTGATATGTACTATCTATCTAATATTTATTATATAATTTTCCTTCAGAGAGAGATACAGAAGAATATTTTCGTAATATATTATCTCTCTGTAATATATAATATCTATCTATAGAAAGATGCAATATTTATTTGAATTAGGCACTATCTAATATTTTCGTGATATTTTCATGTGATACAGAAGAAAATATTGTGAAAAATTAATACTTTTTACGTGAATTGAGCGTGAGAGAGATATATAGATGAGTGAGAGATAGAGAGAGAGATTTGCTTGATTAAAAGAAAAGATTTGTAGGAATTAAATTTTGGAATATCAATTTTGGAAACTATAAATTTTAAGTAGCAAAAAAATTTCAAGAGTTAATGTGGTACATCAAATTAAAATAATCTGAGACGTCAATAGCTCAAGACAGTTTGAGATAACGTCGTCCGTTAAATGATGCTTTTTTTGGTCATAAAACGATCTAAACTACTCTGTCTCCAATATTCAAATTTGTTCTATTTTATTAAATAAATATATCTTTTAATATATACATATATTTATGTATACATTAATTTCATATAAAAATACAATGATAAAATATATATATATATATATATATATATATATTAATATATTTAAAAATAAAAAATAAAATAGTAGCATTACATTTTTTATTTAAAGTTTATATAAATCAACACGAATA